GCCCCACACTAACACAGTAACACAATGAGGCTCCATATGCAAAACAAAGCATTGAGAACATTGTAAGTGTACAGACCGTTTAATAAGAAGATATTTTATAAAGACAGTCCACTTTGTGTATACAGACAGGAGCCATCTTGGAAAACAGTCATGATAAGTCAAACCACGAACGTCGTGCTGAGTGATCTGAACTGTATGAAGTTCAGCAAACTTCTGAACTGTATGAATGGCGTTCGGGGATCGACTTATCGAGACTATTTTTTAAGATGGCTCCTGTCTGTATACGCGAAGTGAACTGTCTTTATAAAGAATCTTATTAAATGGTCTGTACACTTACAAAGTTCTCAATGCTTCGTTTTGCATGTATGGAGCCTCATTATGTTACTGCGTTAGTGTGGGGCTATTTTGAGCCTTGTTAGTGGTATAGCCTAATCTAGCGATTTATTTTTACTTAGTAAATGCCCCCAGTACTAGCATTATACGCTAAAGAGCTTTTAGAGATAAAACTCTTTACATTCAATAATCATGAAAACAAATCTCAGAGAATGGTTGACTAGGTACCGAGGTTTTATTTGACCAAAGGCTCATTTTGCACCGGAGTTCTCCTTTAATTGGGTGAAGGATACCTTTATCTTTTATTTGGGTCAAGAATGGGCACCCATTGAAATGAATGGGAACAATTGTAATTTAGAGCATTTTAAAATAAACCAAAATAAGACACCAGGTGACAGTAAAGTCACTTCATCTTTAGGTTTTAGCTCTAAGAACTTATTGGAATGATATTTTAATGTAGTTAAAAAAATTAAATTTAAAAAAATAATAAAAATAAGCATAATTTACATAGAAAATATGGTACTTTAAGTAAATAAATTCAAAAATACCACCAAAATAAAAATAAAACACCATAAATGGATAGACAAAACAGTGATATAGTAACAGAGTCCTCTGTGCCCACATTTGTCTACAATTACAGGATTAAGGGCTATAAAGTGAATACGGTTTGAGGGCTACACAGACGATCTGACGGGTTTTAGAAGATTAAATACAAACCGAAACCAAAAAACTGACCCGGCCTCTATTTGAGACCGGCTTTTATAGAGCATCACAGTCCCGCCCACAGCCCGAGAGAGCGCTGGTGCCGGAAGTAAATTTCCCATTCATTTCTCCCATTGACATTTTGTAAAATCCAAAGAGTATTAGAGCATGTCTGAGGATAATCAGCTACGGCTGAACTCATAAGCATACAACACATCATTTCGAGTGAAAAAACGAAGAGAAAATAAAAAAAAGTCGAGGGTACAAGCCTGTGTACATGTTTTCATTTCCGAGCAAAGGAACTACTCCTCCCATAAACCACCACGCCTCACTGAAGTCGTCTGAAAACCACCGTGAAAGAGCCTTTTGAGCGACTTCCAAATCTGACGACGGGCAAGTGAACTTTTTCCTCCAGTGAATTTTATACAGTGAATGTGCAGGGAAACTCCTTTTCCTCGATTTACTGAAGCAAACGCATTTGCAGCTCAACATGCGAAAACATTGAGTATCAGGCTCGCTCATTAGCTAAGCTGTGACAACTGCACATCCAATGGCGCACGGGCGTCTCAGAAGTGCGACCAATGAACTTAGCCCTACGTCATCACGCGATCTTCAATCTTCACGTACCTTCGCGGGGTTTCAGAGACGTGACACGACTTCCACCAATCAGATGCATCACTGTTGGATTGTGGGATTGTTCTGGATTGTGGGTAATAATGAAGTACTTATCCAATACATCGCGAATAAAAGGCATTTATCTTAAAACAAGGTTAGTGCCCCATGAACTTTTGGTGTTTATATGAGCATATACAATCACTTAGTACAGCCGTAGCTGGTTTTAAGTCTACCATTTATGGTTACGTTTTTATGGCTTATATCTCAAATGTCAATGGAGAAATTGTATTGAATTTTTACTTCCGGCACCGGCTGTGGGCGGGACTGTGATGCTCTATATACCCAAACCTGTCACCACACCAGGCATGTAAAAGAGACAGGCGTCTATTTGGGACTCGGCTATTATTTGAAGTTTTACGTTATAGCACCTTTAATGAACCGTTATTGCCTATTTTTATCTAAATACACGTGGGTCACCTTACATTGAAATAGCCATTTTGCTCCTACATGTTTCTACAGGAACCCTAAACAGACAAAATTGTCTGCACGTTTCGTCACTATGCTGTCCTTCATGCAAAGAAGCTAGCTAAAGTCAGCGAATAATACATATAACTAATCAGAATAAAAATAAAAGATTATAACATGAATTCAAGTTTGATTAATTACATTTAGAATCGCGAGAACAGATTATATCAGACTCAGCACTTCACCACACCGGTTCAAATCTCGATCGGAGCGGGTCGAGTGGGACAGGTTACATGTATCCAGATGAATAACATAAAACATGTACTTTGTCTTATACTGTCACTCAGTAACAAATGTTTATATTTATATATAAGACCATAGAGCGATCTAGTGGTTACACATTGGTATTGCAGATGATAAAGTGTGCATAATTTATAAATATTTAGTATTTTAAACTATCATTTATTTCTGTAGAGCTGGACAGAGCAAGGATGACTGAGTTCAACTTTGAGAATGAAACTAACCTGTTTGTTCCTCAGTTTCTTGGTTCACACTAAATGTTTCTTCAATCTTCATGTCTTTACTCTCCTCTTTAATAAACGCCATCTGTGTTTGTTCCTCGGTTTCTTCTTGTTTCACACTGAATGTTTCTTCAATCTTCAGGTTTTTACTCTCCTCTTTGATAAATTGCATCTTTGTGTGTTCGTCAGTATCTTCATGTTTGACTCTGAATGTTTCTTCAATCTTCAAGTCTTTACTCTCTTCTTTAATAAACGGCATCTTTATAATAGTGACGTGGGTCTCAGTCGCTTCACCAGGAGTTTTTATTTGTTTGTCCTGTTTAAGATGACAAATAATAAAAAAAAAAAAGCAACGTGCATTCGATTGATAAAAGCTCAGTGTTTCTGACACTGATTCACGCAACTTGTGTTCTTACGCGTGTGTGTTCCTTTACTTTGCTCACACGAGTTTAATAAATGTTAGATAAAGCAATGCAATGTTACATTTAATAAAACATAATCCATTCTGGGTCGTTTTAAATAGTTTCTATCGCTACAAACGCTTAAAACACAAACCTTTCTCCAGCCGAATCACAGCCGAAGCAGGAGCGCGACGCAGCCTTATGACGTCGTACATCAAGACCAAAATAAAAGTCCTGTTCACGGAAGAACGTGCTGTGTCTGAAACGGTCTGAAATCATAAAAGCGCATAAACATTTACTTATAAAAAATAATAATATATGTATATACACACACATACACAAGTTTACATAAAGAAAAGATGACAATTCAGAGCTGAATGTGTCGTATAATGTAACACAAAGGTAAGGCTAGTAATACAGTTCACATTGAGAGTTAAAAAATTTAAAATGAAAGCTATTACACAATGAAGTCACTTAATTATTTTGTGTGTGTGTGTGTGTGTGTGTGTGTGTGTGTGTGTGTGTCTTAATGAAGTAAGTTACTTCTTATTACTTATCTTTCCATTTAGACTCACATCTACTGTGGATGCTCTGACAGAAACATTAAACCGGCAATCCACTGTCCGGCCGAGTTTTGATTTCGTCAAATGCAGTTTTGGCGAATTCAAAACAACGTGATTATTGTTCATGAGTCCAACATCCACCCACGCAAGAAAACATGAAATCTTCCTGAGGGAATAATCTGCTGATGTGATTTCCTGCCCAAGAAACATTTCTGATTAGGCCTATTATTGATGTAAAAAAAATAATAATAATAATTGATGAACAGAAGTTTCTATTTATACTGTCACTTTTGATTAATTTAATGTGTCCTTGCTGAATTAAAGTAGGCTATTACTTTCTTTAATTTCTTTAAAATTGTATAATGTTACAAAAGCTTTCTATTTCAGATAAATGGTGTTATTTTGAACTATGGTTTGTGTGTAATGTGACTTTTTGTGTGACCTTAAAATTCGTTTTAGAATTAAATTGTAGGCTACATAATAGGTTAAGCAAAGCAAATGTGTTTATGTCTGTGAACCTTTTAAACACATACAAACCTGAAATGACATATACAGTGGGGCCAAAAAGCATTTAGTCAGCCACTGATTGTGCAAGTTCTCCTACTTAGAATGATGAGAGAGGTCTAATTTTCATCGTAGGTACACTTTAACTATGAGAGACAAAATGAGGGGAAAAAATCCAGGAAATCATTATTTGAAGAGTTCAGATGCAAAAGCCTCTAAGTGCCATTTGAAATTTTCTTCTAGAATGATCATTTTTATCAAGCTTGTATATTTAAGTTCAGTGATTTCGCTTAAATGGCAATGATAATTACCTATTAATTGTTATTTAAGTGAAATTACTGAACTTAAATATACAAGTTTGATAAAAATCATCATTAAAGAAGAAAATTTCAAATGGCATTTAGAGGTTTTTGCATCTGAACTCTTCATTTGTAAATTATGGTGGAAAATAAGTATTTGATCAATAACTAAAGTTCAACTCAAAACTTTGTAACATAACCTTTGTTGGCAGTGACAGAGGTCAAACTTTTCCTGTAAGTCTTCACCAGGTTTGCACACACTGTAGCTGGTATTTTGGCCCATTCCTCTATGCAGATCTCCTCTAGAGCAGTGATGTTTCGTGACATTTTTTTTCCTTCCTGGAAAAGAAAATATGACCCATACGCTTTTGGCTGGTATTGTTTTTACTTTGAACATTAGGCATTCCAGATTCTATCAAAACTTATCTCTCCAAACAATCAAATGCCCAGTGTCTGACTGGTTTTGATGAATGCATGCATGAAGAGAAAAAAAAGGTGACTTGAGGTTGAGTAATGCACTTGTGTAACTGGTTTGGGCCAATCACAGCTGTCTGCTGTCAGGATAGACCAGTCACAGTAGGTTGTAATTTGATCCTTCACACTAAAAGAAATAGAAACCAAAAGTTTGAATTCGCTTGATAAGACGCCATTTAAGGTTGCTGTAAAACAAAGCTTACAAGGTCAAATTTATTGGTAAGTTCAGTACATTTCTTTCTTATAACACTGCCATAGAAATGTCTTGACATTAGATATGTGTGTTCAGCTATGACTATACGATACCAAAATGACTGTCCTCACTATTCAAACATTACCTCACTAATATAGTGAAAGCTGTTTAACACCGACTAGCCGAAACGCACTAGTTAAAAATACAAAAATCTAGTTCTATTAACATTTAGTGTTTTGCACAGGTTTCTGTAAGGGTTATTTTTCGGGTCGAGTGAGGACAACTTCTTCTTTTCTGGCGGATTCCAGTCAGCCAAGGAAATAAATACATCTTAACCTGATGTAAACACAACAGAAGCCTATGACACGCCCTCACTAATATAGTTAAACAAACGTTTACATGTCATATTTACAGTCAAACTCGATTAATGAATTAATGAAAGGTATACTTGTGGAATCAGGCACAATAAATGAATAGATAATGCTTATCATATAATGTATTATATACATTTCTGTGAAATTTTAATTGGTACCTACAGGTTTTAATAAGGTTTTCTCAACATTCATATCGAGGTCAACAGTTATTTATCAACCAATTCTCCCACGGGTATGTTGTGTCCTTCCAAGGAAACGGTGGCTTAGATACAATCCCAATCTCTGTTACCGATCCACCATTTTGTTTGCTTAGTAGTCAACAGATTAGAGGTTATTAGAGGTGGAGGTTAATCAGGGTTACCGCACACTTTAAAGTCAAAGTAAAGGCTTTTTAAGACGGTAAGAAATACAAATTAATATACTGTATACAGGATGTACAATATTGACAAAAAATGATATCTTGATATTTTCTTAATTTGTTGATAATAATGTGTTTTTGTGCTGGTACCATGGCTGGTTTAGGCCTGCTGTTGTTGACAGCTAACTCATGAAGATATAACTGTTTATTCATATTCTATGCAATGGTCAGTTCACAGCAGTGACAGAAATCAACAAGGTAAAATATTTGCCACCTTAAATTGATTTCAGAGGGCATTTACAGAATTTTTTTTTACATAAAATAAATGTATGCATCACCTTTCAAAGTCACATTCAAAGTCAAAGTCTTATCCAAAACTTTAGGTATCTCATAAGTAAAAGTAAGACTTTTTTATGCTCTTAAATTTTAAAGGATACATTTTTAAGGATATGCTACTGTAATGATCCTCTGCTGGCTTCTTTTTTTACAACCCTGAAAAGACCTGCACAATATATTATGGGCACTTTGATCAAATTCAGCTGTGGCAATGACTATAAGTTCGAGTTTAGTCTGAGAAAATCTGGTGTTTGGTTTCAAGGTTTTTACTTATTATTGCTGTTCACTGACATTTTGACTTGCGTTACATGGCTAACATGCTCTGTAAGAGATTGCAAGCCAAAACGACATGTATCTGATGCTGTGTTATTATAATTATATAGTATATTTTATATATATTATAGTATATTTAATATATCATAAATAATTAGCACAGTAGACATAAGCAGTTAATATTCAACTTTTAATTTAAAACTATATTCAAGCTTTAGAATACATAAAAAAAACTTAACTGCTAAACTTAGGTTTTCTTTTCCTTTTTGTTAACATTTCAATTATTAAATAAATTTAGTTAATACACTTGCATAAATATAGAATTTTCAGATTTTTTCTCTCTTTTTTCCACCCTCTCACAAGAACTGAATCAAACTAATACTCTCCATGTTTTGTTTAAATGGTCGAGTTTCCATCTAAACGTGAAGCAAATATTTTCAGCGTTCGAAAAAAAACAAGTTACAAAAACAAATGCGAATTAGGTGCATTTCCATCAAGTTGTTAGAGTAGATGACAGAGTATTAGAAATAGTGATGCACCGATACCATTTTTTCTATCTGATAAAAAATGCTGAGTATCGGCTGATACCGATCCAATATCAGCACAGTTTTTTTTTTGATCAATGTAGAATTTTTATACATCTGTTTGTTGAACTAATAATTACTCTTGTGTGTTAAACATCATTATAAAGAAAAACAAGAAATGGAAAAAAATATGATCATAACCTATGTCAAAATATTATTAAAAACTAGATTAAATGAAAAATCAGCTGCAGCAAAAGTTACTCTCGAAAAATCATGAGAGCATAGTAATTTTACCAAATCTAAACATTTAGAGAAAAAAAAAAACATTATTTAGTAAAGATGGCGAACAAACAAAATGAATAAGTGTAGAACTAAATCTGGTAAAATGTTACCCATTGCTCTTTGTATTGTTGTAAAATTATGAAAAATAAGTAAATATACTATAAAATTGAAAGACATTTTAATATGTAGTGCAGCTGTTTAATGACGCAGCAGCATTTTATAGATAGGAGAGAAAAATAAAGGCTATTCATAATCGTTCTTTGCTCAAAAGTATTATAATATGAAAGGCTCCTACAGAGTGGCACAAAGTGCTTATGCGGATCCTATGCGCTGAATGATGCACTTGAAGCAACATGGAGTCACAGCCCTTCGCATTTAAAAGTTCAAAGCAAAAAGGAAGAGATATTGATGCATAGTTGCGGTATTATAACAATGTTATAATATAATAGTTATAATAGTTTAACCCTTTAAATTTTGAAATTTTGATGTCAAAATCCAGCATTTTTTTTAAAAAAAAACTTGCCGCCTAAAAGTTAAGTTAAAAAATTTCAGTTACTGTGTGCATGAAGAACAATTACAGTGCTCTCTAATCCAAGTGTTACTAGAAAGTTACATAAACTCCAGATAGATAATGTTATTTTATGCGAAACCATAGACCTTTATCTACAGATCAAGTACAATAATAGGAACATTGAATCATCTTGGAGAAAGTTTCATCACGTTGACTGCCGTAACCGAACGCAGAACGCATAACTAATAAAACATAACTATGATTGTTTGCTGCAGATGTCACACTTTCAGGTGCACTTGGTCAAGAATCATGATAAAACATGATTTTTATTTTTTTAGTTAATGTTTTAATATGACAAATTAACTGATTTTGTTATTGAAGTCTCCCAGCTCAAATCAGGGTCTTATAAACCAATAAAAATAAAGAAAATCTAACTTAATATCACATTGTACATATGTACTTAGCAATCAAAGTTTTGGTAAGTCACTGTAAGTTATATAGCGCTTTATACTATACAGATTGTTAGAAAGCAACTTTACAGTGATAAACAGAAAAATGACAATCCACTGAATCAAACAAAATTCAATTCTGCTGTTAAGAAGCTCTTAAAGGACAATAGGAAATGGGCTCCAATTCCAACATTTACTAAACACTAAACTGGTACAGGCAGAGGACACACACAACATAAACACACCTCACATAAACGAGAACTGACCAGGACTGACTGAACAGAGGGAACCTAAATACAGAGGCAAATGAACACTAATGAGGTGAGGTCAGGTGACACGGATAATGATGACGATAAACAGGTGTGTAATGAGGGAGTGAGTTCAGGTGTGAAGACACCTGAAGGGATTCTGGGAAGTGTAGTGAAGACGAAGACATCATTCAGTTGAAAACAGTTTAGTGTTCATTCATTTAATTTCAATAATTGAGAAAAGTAAATTGAATTATGATAATAATTACATTCAGCCATAATGCAGTGATGTCGTCATCCAACTAAGTTGAGTTCTCTTGAAATCGTTTATGCACACATTGTCTTTAAACACATTTCCATTTACACTATAGTTCTGATTTAGGAGCCAAAATAATATGACATGAAAGTACATAACTCTTTACTTCTAGAAATATATTCTAGTGGTTTTCATAAGTGATCTATGAGCAGATTTCCTGATTAATTTAGCCTTGTCTTGTTGTGCGGGAGAGAATGAAACAGAGCCTGAAAGCATTTCTCATGGAAAATGTGTGAGACTTGCGCAACCCTGCATTACAGAATGATATTGTTTATTAGAATTGTTTATGCCCCTGTTATGCATCACTTATGTAGTTTGTGTTTGTAAAGGTTTGACTCGAAAACACATTTAAATCACAGGAGAATGAGTTCCTCTGAGGAGAAAGAGGAGCAGGATGTTGTTCACTTCCAGAACAAGAGAGCAGCATCTCCAGAGCCCAGCCTTGTGTCTATGAAGAGTGACGAATCCATGGGAGCACCCCATAACTTCTGTGATGAAACAGTGACCTTTAACCCCAGGTGAGAAAAAAACAGTTCATTTCTAGGAGCAATGGATCAAGCTGATGTTAATAGTAGTAAGTTATTTATTCTTAAAGGGATACTCCACTTTTTTGGGAAATAGGCTCATTTTACCACTCCCCCATAGTTAAACAATTCCCCGTTTCATTTTTGTTAAACTTATACTTCTCTTAACTGGATTTTAAATGCCCTTCACGTTAGGTGATACTATTAACATCCTGTATTCATACTTTTCTTATCTGGTGATCCTGTATAAGGCCTCCCCCATGCACATGTCCAGTTTTATAAAGCTTATACACCAACAAAATCTCTCCCTGTACATGTACTGTATTAACCAAAGTAAACAATGACAACATTAGGGAGACCCCATGTGACCATGGGGTAATGTGATATATAACCATGCCAGCCGATGAGTTGAATCAGATGTGTTTGATTAGGGAGACAAAGAAAAGGTGTAGTGTTGGGGGTACTCCAGGACAGGTTTGAGAACCACTGATCTAAAAAGTAAGGCCTCATTTACACTGCATGGTTTAAGTGACCCAAATCCGATTTTTTCCTGTCATGTGGCACAGATCGGATATCAACGAACAGTGATGAAACAAGATAACGAATGTGTAAGCAGGAACAAATACATGGATTCTGATTTTCTCAGATCGGATTCAGGCCTCACTCATATGTGGTAATAAAGCGGATATGTATCGGATACGTGCATTTGCGTGTGCCATGTAAGCAGACAAATCGGATATTCCCCAGTAAATGTGAGTCGTACGTCATTTAAAAAAGTGCGCGATTATAGGCGTGATGGAAGACAAAGGATACACAGAGTGGAGCAATGCGGAGGTTTCATGTCTTTTGAGTGTTTGGGGCGAAGAGTACAGGTAAAATGCAGGGTTGTTAGAAATAAATCCGTATTTGAAGACATTTCACGAGATAAGGGGAGGCACGGATTTAGGCGCTCGTGGCTACAGTGCCAACAAGGGCTCTCCTCTTTTTTTCTCCACAGTATGAGACCAATGTTTTGATGACTTTTCAAAATATTGTGGAAAAAAAACACTGGATAATTTTATTCGCATCTGTATCCATTGCATTTCGTGCTGTTTTACTTCATTTTCCGAGTCAGAACGTCTACATTTGGTAGTTTCAGCAGTGTATAATGTAAATGCAAAAATCGGATACGGGTCACTTTTAAAAGATGATGTATGTGGGTCGTATATAGATCGGATATAGTCAGAAAATCGGATTTGGGCATCAAGACCTGCAGTGTAAATGCAGCCTAAATGATTCTTTTTAAACTTTATGTGTTTTATCCAGCTGAAATGGGCGTTGACACATTTGCATGGCTTGCCTCAGATTATTGTTTGAATAGTGCACGCTCTCAGTGGGCGTGGTCACATTAACACTCAATGAGCTATAATGAGCTGAAAAGAAAACAACGGACTTCTCTCTTTTCATACAGATTACATAAACTGAGAATATTTGTTTTTTTATGTAAATTCATTTAAAAGATGAGAATTCAAGCTTCATACCTGTTTGCCTGTGTTCCTGCGTGACTGAGTATTCGTTACAGTTCATTTTTGGACGCGTTTCAGAATGGACTTCACTGACAGAAGGAACGCAGAACTCGAATCATGTTTATTTATTTATTTTTTTCTTGATTTGGCGAAAAACACAACATTTTGTTTTTATTGTGAGTATACACAAAAAATAGACACTTAAAGGAGAACTCCAGCGCAAAATGAACCTTTGGTCTAATTACACATTGGTACATAGTCAACCGTTCTCTGAGATTTGTTTTCATGATTATTGAATGTAAAGAGTTTTATCTCTAAAAACTGTTTAGCTTAAAATGCTAGTATATGGGGCTTAGAGTAATGAAAATAAAAATCGCTAGTTAATACCACTAACAAGGCTCAAAATAGCCCCCCACTAACTCAGTAGCATAATCAGGGTCCCTGCATGCAAAACGAACCATTGAGAACTTTGTAAGTGTCCATACAGTTTAATAAGAAGATACTTTATAAAGACAGTCCACATCTTGTATACAGGCGGCGCCATCTTTGGAAAACAGTCTCGACAAGTCGAACCACGAACGCCGAACCAAGTGCGCTGAGTTAGTGTTGGGCTATTTTGAGCCTTGTTAGTGGTATTAACTAGTGATTTTTATTTTCATTACTCTATGCCCCATATACTAGCATTATAATCTAAACCGTTTTTAGAGATAAAACTCTTTACATTCAATAATCATGAAAACAAATCTCAGATAACGGTTGACTATGTACCAATGTGTAATTAGACCAAAGGTTCACTTTGCGCTGGAGTTCTCTTTTAACAGGATATAATGATGTACAACACATATGTAAAATCAAATTTAATATTATTTTTGAGTATTTTGAGTCTTTTTTGCACTGATAAGAAAAAAATTGAGTTTGTTGCGCCGCCGAAAGGGAACTGACACTAGACCAGCATTTATTGGCAGGTTTAACTCTAAATGCAATCAGAAGCAGACTGGAGAAAGCTGGTCAGCTGGTTTTGTAAATGACACATGGCTTTGCCAGAAGATCTTCCTCGCAGTAATTATTTGTGTTGTTGTTCTTGTTTCTGCTGTGTTAATAGAGATGATCAGATTGGAGACCTGCAGGAGGATTCTCACCAACCAGTAAATGATGAACTACAAAAAGTCAAAGATCTACACAAAACCACCATGAAGAACAAGTTTGAGATCTTATTTGAGGGAATCAAACTTGAAGAGAATCAAACCCTCCTAAACAGGATCTACACACAGCTGTATATCATAGAGGGAGAATGTGAAGGATTGAACAAAGAACATGAGGTTTTACAGATGGAGAAAACACCTAGATTCAAGAAATCACATAACACTCAAATCGTCTGCAATGACATTTTTAAATCCATACCTGAACGAGAATGTGATGAGAACGACAAAATAAGGGTTGTTCTTACTAAAGGCATTGCTGGAATTGGAAAAACCGTCTCTGTGCAGAAGTTTGTTTTGGACTGGGCTGAGGGAAAAGCCAATCAGGATGTAGATTTCATGTTTGTGCTTCCCTTTCGAGATCTGAACTTGATTCGAGATGATAAGTACAGTCTTCACAATCTTCTGGTGGACTTTCATCCTGAACTTAAAGATCTGGACTCAAAGATTTATGAGGAGTGTAAAGTTGTGTTCATTTTTGATGGTCTTGATGAAAACAGAATGACACTGATGTTTTCTGACAGTGAGAAAGTTTCTGATGTGACTAAGCCTTGCTCAGTGAGTCTGTTGATGTCAAACCTCATTAAAGGAGAGCTGATTTCCTCTGCTTTCATCTGGATCACCTCTAGACCAGCAGCAGCCAATCAGATCCCCTCCAATTATATCAACCGTCTGACTGAAATTCAGGGATTCAATGATCGTCAGAAGGAGGAATATTTCAGGAAGAGAATCAGTGACGAGCTTCAAGCCACCAGAATCATTACACACATTAGAAGAGCAAGAAGCCTCCACATCATGTGCCACATACCCGTCTTCTGCTGGATCTCATCCACTGTGCTTCAGAAGCTCTTGAAAGGAGAACAAAGTGAAGAAATCCCTAAAACTCTGACTGAAATGTACATTCACTTCTTGCTCATTCAGATCAACAAGAAGAATCAGAAGTATGAACAAAGTGATACCAAGAAACTCCTGCAGTCCAACAGAGAAGTGATTATAAAACTTTCTGAACTGGCTTTCAAACAATTGATGAAGGGCAATATCATATTCTATGAGGACGACCTGAGAGAGAGCGGTATAGACGTCACTGATGCCTCAGTGTATTCTGGGATTTGCACTGAGATCTTTAAAGAGGAGTCTGCGATTCATCAGAGGAAAGTCTACTGCTTCATACACCTGAGTGTTCAGGAGTTTCTCTCTGCATTCTATGTGTTTTACTGCCATCTGTTGAAGAACATGGAGCCATTGGAGGTGTTTCTGAGTGACAAACATGAGTACAGATCTACGAAAAACATGTGTGCACTGCTATCCTCAGCAGTCGATAAAACCCTTCAGACTGAAAATGGACACTTGGATCTTTTTCTGCGGTTCCTGCTGGGTGTCTCACTAGACTCCAATCAGAAACTATTGCAGGATCTGCTGACACACACAGAGACCAGCTCAGAGAGCACTAGAGAAATCACACAGTACATTAAAAATGAAATCAAAGGAAGTTATGGTCTCTCGGCTGACAGATCCATCAATCTGTTCCTCTGTCTGCTGGAGGTGAATGATCAGACGCTGTACAGAGAGATTCAGGGATTTGTGAAATCAGACAAACACTCAGAAAATAAACTTTCTCCTGCTCACTGCTCAGCAATAGCCTACATGCTTCAGATGTTAGAAGAGGTGCTGGATGAGTTCGACCTCATGAAATACAACACATCAGATGAGGGTAGATGGAGACTCATACCAGCAGTGATGAACTGCAGAAAAGCTCTGTAAGTATTCATTCATGGCATCACAAAATAAACATATTTCTATGTAGTTGTGATTCAACCTTAATAATCTATGGAGCCATACCCCTATTTTTATTTATAGAACACAAGTGTGGAAATAATTAAATTATGTCTATTTGTATTGAAGCGGAAAGGATATAAACATTTGAAGAGTATGCAGTAGAAGCACAGCCATGTGGAAATTTGTAGTATCTCATAGTCAGAATTTAAAGCACACCATGTTTTAAACTCAAAGTATTACTTAGTACATTTGTTTCCCAAACCTGTTTCTGGAGGCACACAAGTGTAATTTAAGTTTAATTGCAACAGTGATGAGAATGACAAGTCTCCAGCTGTTCTTCACCACATACTTTCAACTCACCTCCATATTCGGACTCCATATCTCATGTAATTTAGGGCCTGTTTACACGAGAACGTTCGCGGGTGAAAACGTAAAAATATTTTATCGGATGTGCCTTTCGTTTACACTGCGACGGTGTTTTGGGGGCTTAGAATCGCTAAAAAGTGAAACCACCCTCCAGAGTGGAAATCTTAAAAACACTCCACCGCAGCGTTCCCATGTAAAGGGTAAAAACACAAAAGTCTGCTTTAGTTGTGTTTGATCAGGGCTAGGCCTGCAGTTTGAATGAACTTTGAAGGTTGTACGCAGGCACGTGGACTTGGTGTTGTTGTGTGGCAGTGCTCCACATTGCCACCTAGCCACCTGGAGTGCATACTACATTGAATATTACACACTTTTGCATCACCATTTGCACGCGTATTTCCCACCCAAAATGCTCGTCTGAACGCTGAATAAAAAGTGATAACGCAACGCCACTTTTGCGTTTTCTCTTCAGAATCGTTTTTGTGTAAACATACCCTTAGTTAGAGATAAAAAATGTAAAATAAAAAAACTAAATTTATTTGATATGGACATAACAACAGCATTAGACAAACCAGATACGTTGTTTTTTTTAGTGTTATAGCAAAACTGATAATTTACAACACTTGTCCATAGGAGGCTATGCAGAATGTGACTAATGAGACTGCCTAATACATGTTTTCACCCCCATGATCATGGCATAAAAATATTATTCAACATTTATGGTATCCCGGTGGTTTACATTATTTACTTTTTAACATACCTTTATCTCCAAAATCATTTTTCCTTGCATTACATAATAGAACTGGGTGAGCTCATTGTCATTTAAAGGTGCGTGTGAGTGTAGCGACATCTAGCGGTTTGGTTGCAAGTTTGCACTAAAGCCTCAGCCCACTGCTCACTCCTCCCTTTCAAAGAAGCTACGGTGGCTCAAACGGGACAAATATTTCGTCGAGACAGCAGAGAATAGCCAGAGTAAGAGCCAAGAGTGTGTAACATTGTCACTGTTTCTGAACCACAGTCCATTATAAACCACATCATAGATAAAGTTTAAAAAAGCCATAGTCAGGTGACGATCAAGGGTCTTACTATATAATAAATAATATAATAATAGTAATCAGCCGATTATCTCACAAGCGTATTCAGTACATTTCAAACCCACAATACAGCGAGGGAGAAGAACCACATGAAACTATGCAACTATATATGTTTTCAAACAGCGTAGTAAAAGTTTAGCTGGTAATATGAGCTGTTACTGTGGCTGAGCTGGTTAAAGTGTAAAGCCTTGTTTAAACTTGACGCGTCCGCATGAGCCCAAAGGTGCGCGCGACAAAAATTACATGATTGTAACAGGGTGTGCACATCCGCATCACATAGACACCATTTACTACACACAATAGGCTTTTTCTCTGATATTGAAAACTCTTCTTGACCGACTTAAAATGCTTCCAAGATCGACTTGTCGACCGTGATCGACATGTTGGTGATTTACTGTTTTACGGTCAATGACGAGAGTACTAATCAACTGTCTCACGAACGTAACAGCACATTTATCCCCACATAGCAAACCCATAACACAGCGAGGGAGAACTAAGTTACATGAAACAATCCAACTACATATTTTACACCACTGACAAGGGAAAAGTCACTACTCACTGTGTCTATGGCTAGCTTCTAGGTTTCTGCGGCTTCTCTTTCAAAGTATGAACGAAACGTGCTCTGTAGCGATGTTTGTTCACGTTCGGCTATGGTAGAAACCTTCATAGAAGGGGGTGTACGCGGTTATGTAGCTATAAATGTCTCAATCTGAGGCCCTGTTTACACGAGAACGCTCGCGGGTGAAAATGTAAAAATATTTTATCGGGTGTGCCTTTCGTTTACACGGCGACGGCGTTTTTGAGGCTTAAAAACACAAAAAAGTGAAACCACCCTCCAGAGTGGAAATCTTAAAAACGCTCCACCGCCGCGTTCCTGTGTAAAGGGTAAAAATGCAAAGGTCTGCTTGACAGTGAAGGTTGTACGCAGGCACGTGGTCTTGGTGTTGTTGTAGTATGCACTCCTAGCCGCCTGGAGTGCATACTACATTGAATTTCATACACTTTTGCGTCTCCATTTGCACATGGATTTCCCACCCAAAACGCTCGTCTAAACGCAGAATAAAAAGTGATAACGCAACGCTACTTTTGTGTTTTCTTTAGAATCGTTTCCGTGTAAACATAGCCTTAGGTAATAAAAACAGTACGGTTTATTAAGTTCTTTATACACCATTGAAAACATAGTTATGGATGTCATAGTGCATTTCTGACTCAAATACTCAAAATTTTTACACATTGCACATTTAATTTTCCTCTAATATTTGGAATTTGTGCAAAGGATTGTGAGTTGTGGAGAACATGAAGGATTCACTTGATGTGGATGCAGCCTCAGTACCAGGATTGAAAGCTTTGTGTTCATTAAAAGACAATGTCATGCACAAAATATTGAAAACATTTTAACATCCCTCTCCTCCTCATTGTTATTCTCTGTAATAGGCTTGTTGGATGTGGTCTCTCTGATCAGTGCTGTGAAAGTTTGTCTTCAGCTCTGCAATCATCAAATTCCTATTTGAGAGTGCTGGACCTGAGTAACAATGACATCCAAGATTCAGGAGTGAAGCTGCTCTCAGTTGGACTGATGAGTTCACACTGTCAACTGAACATACTAAGGTTTAACCTTCAAACTCACTATTAGACATGCACAACCAATAAACAGTCAATGTATTACTGGCTGATAATTGGGTATAATTTTATTATTATATGTCAATAATGGAGTTATTTCACTGTATTTTAACTGCTCTGGTGTATTTGAATGCTCACTACCTACAGATTATCAAATTTTTCAGGTGGTTTCAAGCGTTTCTACAACGTGTGACCTATATAGTTAATTGTGTGGCCTATCATGTTGTAGAAAATCTATTTTGTCTGAAAAAAACAGTATCCCTTATAAGTCAGATACAAATTGTTATGAACGCTTGGTTATGAATGCTTGGTTACTATGGATATAAAGATTCAAATACAATAGGATTGGTGGCTTATTGATAGGATAAGACATTTAACAAAGAAGGCATGTAAATGGTTAATGACATATGTCAATTAATTCTGACATTTTAATTACTGAATCCTTTATTTTGTTCAGACTGGCAGGTTGTCGATTGACTGCTCAGTGCTGTGAAAGTTTGTCATCAGCTCTACAATCATCAAACTCCCCTCTGAGAGAGTTGGATCTGAGTAACAATGACCTGCAGGATTCAGGAGTGAAGCTGCTCTCTACTGGACTGAAGAGTTCATACTGTCATCTGAACATACTGAGGTGTGACTTTCACTTCTTCACTATATGTATGAATAGGTGTTTTGAAGTGATCAAATTTTATTATAAATCAGCTGCATCTGATAACTGACGAATGGACTAATTGTAAAAAATAAATAAATAAATAAATAAATTAACCCTTTCTGCATAATTTTATTTTACCAGCATCAGTTCTAATCATAATTATCAAACATTCATTAATTTTCATAATTGTAACCCTTTAAATGCTGGTTTGTTTACATAATGCCACAGATGTTTTTTTAATAAAAAAAAAGGAAAATTAGTAATTTTTTTCAGTTTACTAAATGCCAAGTTTTTTTCTTTGATTGCATTCATATATTTTGTGCAGTGTCACATAAAAAAATACAACTCATGTACATATGTGCTGATTAGGTGATTGTGCTCGCCTCAGGGTGTCAATCAAAACACATAATCACAGGATTCAGAATCTTCTTTTTACTTGGTGTTAGTGCGTATGTATGTGTGTGGTCTGAAATAAGCAAATGAATAACATTACAATAAGCAATTACAGTATTCAAACATAATAAGAATATACATGTCATTCTACATCCAATACAATTATCAGGGTTTGACATGCACTTCCGAAATTAACCACTAGATATCGTATAAAGCGCATATAATGCGGATCGCGAATTCCACTGAATCTGAGAAAACACTGAATCATCATATCGAATCAAATAGGACGAATACAATTAACTTGACACTCATTAAAGTGTTAACATTGCAGCTAGTAACCACAAACAGAGTATACAGAAATAAATAACTTCAGTAACTTAAATAACTTCTTATCTATTATATTTATGACAGTCCCAACTTTGACATGAGGCCAGTATCACTAAACAATAAACAGCTCGTTAATTTACATCAACCAAACAGTAATGTGGCAGTTAACTATTCCTAAATCACGATTAAGTAAATAAACGTACATTTTCTCATGAACGCACACACAGAAGATGAACACTGAACGTTGAGATACAGGAAGATATAATGCGCGTTCTTCTCTTAACTCCACTTGTCAACTGATCGAGAAGTTTCTAACTCGCCGACCAACGTCATCTCAGAGTCACCAATAAGTTCTGAGTCACCAATAAGTTCACCAACAACCCAGCATCCTGGCCTGGGTTGAACAGCATTGGAAGGTTATGTGTCCACTTCTCTGAGGGTCCGAAATGCAGCTAGCTTATCGTGCATGCAGGTCATGTCATCCAGTGATCTATCCTCAGGGTGGAGCTTAGGAGGTTGAATTTTTGTGGGACATGGTGGCCTGGAAAATAGAATGTCCATTTTCCACATCCCACAGTCTTCTTTTCGATTCATTTCATGACCTTTACACGCCGGCCAGAATCAGCAGACTGATGTATGTCTGAATTTCAGTGGAATCAAAATCAATCCAATCTGTCACAGAACGCCTACCCTGTAAATGGATTTTTTCCAGAAGAAGCTGAATGATGTCTGCTGTGATCAAGAGGTTGAAGCAAGACTGCACAGATGTCAGTTCAATCGAAATCAATCCAATCTGTCACAGAATGCCTCCCCTGTAAATTGGTGTTCTCCAGAAAAAGCTGAATGAGCTGTCTCTTCTGTCTCAAAAAAAAGTTGAGAACCCCTGCTTTAAATGAACACAACTTCAGAACTATGCCACAGTGAAAAGTTATATTGTTAAGGATCAATACTGCATTTTAGTCAAATAACATCAAAAAACAATACATACTTAAACATCATGTATTTATAAAAATAACAAAAGTATTTTTTTTCATCATTATTAGTACAGCCTCCCTCACACTTGCTCAATAAGGTACAGCAAAGTCCAGCTCGGTGGCACTTACAGTTGCCCTTACAGGCAACCACACAGCCACAGTTGAGGAGGAGTGAGCATCCCTTACTGACATCTTCCAGATCTGTCCAATATGGCACCCAGACTTTGGTTCAGTCATTCCATTCCCAACCCCACTCACTGGGGTCTGGAATCTCTGGAGTTTTGGAGAGGGACTGCTTCCAGACAAAAGCTGCATTGTACATGGCACACTTCCCATGCAGGAATAAGGCATGCTGGCTAGGGGGGATTGAATCCAGGGACTTGAGGCCATGAGTGAAAAGAAGCATCCGGGCTTCATTGACTGACTTGACACCGTAGTTCTTACTATACATGAGTACAGTCAACAACTGAAACAACTCATCTTTATTTTGACTGTCCTTGAGGAACCTCTGCCATTGAGCTCCCTTTGGCAGAGGTATCTTAGTGGAGACTCATGTTCTGTACCCTGCTTTCCCACCACGCTTAACACGAGTCTGGGATTTGAGACTTGCCTCTATATACTTGTCCCAGACTGCATCCACTCTTGTCGTCTTGTCAGTCATCAGGCTGTGTATTACTGCTGCCATATCAAGCACAACCACAGAAGCTTCTTTGGCTGATGGAGAGGGGCCAGGATATATGAATGAATGAATGAATAGCAGCAGCAGCAGAAGATCATACAGATTAACAGAAGATTTTAAGTAAAGACTAGCCAATTGAAAATGGTTACGGCAGAAGCAGAGCTTAAAGGTGCCGAACCCTTGTTCACCCTATCTAAGACAAACAGAAAATATGACACAAACCTGGCATTCCTGGTAAGCACCTAAGAATATCTGACTTGGTTCCTGACTGCAGCTTGCCTTGATCGGACAAAGATGGAGGCTCACGCTGATTCTCAAGCTTGAAGAAGTGATCGATGTCCAGATCAGGACGGGCTCGTAGGGACATGAAGAGCTTGGTGACGAGCTGTATTTGCCTTGGCAGACCCCAACTCGCGGGCACCCTTTTTCAGATCCACGGGTGGCCTGTTCGTGAATGTGAACAAATTGGCCCTTGGAATGACATCAGATAGGGGCTTGGTGGCTTTTTCTATTCTGTCGCTTACAAACTCTGTGAACATGGCTAATTGCCAATGTTAGGAGCTTCCCTGAGGGATCTCATGATCAAGGACCTCACCAGTGTCTAGGGTGATGAGCTTGTACCCATTTCTTTGAAGGGATTGACTATTTTATCTTCCTTTGCAAGATCGCATAGTTCTTTCAGATTATTGAGGAACTTCTTCTGTTCAGCAGCTGAGGACTCTGGATGTTCCAGACTTTCCTTCTCGCTTGAGGCAGAGAAACAGGCAACCTCAAACTCATCAATGGTCTGTAGCACTTCCGGTTTTGAGAGCTTTTTTATCACCTTCTCCTCCTGCAGGCCATGAAAGCCCTTTCAACCACTGTCCTCCTTTCAGAAAGGAGGCGGCAGGTGATCATGAAGTAGTCTCTAACTGTTAACCAGTAAGAGGTTGTTGGAGCATTATCCCTGTCGACTCGTCCACATCTCCATGCTTCCAGGCCCATAGCCCTCTTGGCAGTTACTCCTCATATGCCTGTATTTTGAGTACGAGGAGCCAGGCAAGGGTAAGCTGATGGGTATACCGTGTACGTTTGACATGCTTGCCGCTTAGTAGAGATGCTGCAACACCAGTATTGAAGATCTTTGCAAGGGCAAACAACCGGTCCCATCCAGAGCCAGCTAATTGAGAAATGAAGCGGAATTTCCCAATATTAGATAGCTAGCTAGCAAGCTACCAAGAGCTAGCAAGCTCAGTAATCAACATGGCAAATTCAAACTACTACACTAGGAATGGGGGCAAGTCAGTGTACACTTAAAATATGTAAAATAACTGTACACTTACTCACATATGGTCCTTGTATCATATCAAGTAAAAAAAGTGTCATCATACAACAATTTAAGACTAAAAGAAGCTGAGATATAACCTTTTCTCTTTTCGGCGGGGGCCAATTTGGATTTTATGGATAACTGCCACTAGGGGGACGACCCCAACTTGTATCCATGGTTTTTTAAAAACCTTAGGCCCATAACTAACACCCTGCCAAAAATCAAAAACTTTTCCAGAAGTGCCCAATCTTCATGATTTTTCACGTATTCCTTCCCAGCTATCAGCACGAATTCACCTCAGCACGAATGTCACTATAGCAACCTTGTGCTTGATTGTGATTGGTTGAAATCGTCCAGGACATTTAAAGGCATCCGGGCCTTTTGTACACTGTCAGCAAACATCGGTTAACAGCATGTAGGTTCGCTCTCGCATCGCTTAAAGCTCTGTGAGGCTCATATTGTTGCGTTGATCACAGAGCTACCATCTCAACGCTGTGAAGATAACATCTTTTATGCTCATCCAAAGCCTCATTGATGTAGCTTAATATGTTTCTATTGCAATGTTATATGTTGAAATATTTTCATTATTTGTTCAATTTAATTTCAGTAATTTCAGTATTGTGATTATCAATCCGTTTTACTACATTGTTTCACTTGAATTAATCTGCTACCATCTTTCAATCACTCTGAATGAGCCGTGGCGTGGCGGCAGATTAAGCAATAGAGAGAATAAACAGACACTTTTCGAAGTCAGTGATTGTAGCACCTCTTAGCGGTAAAAGACAGCAAATACACTCACCCAATTTACCGCCGCGGGAACATTGGCGGTAAAAGTATTATTCTGGTTGTGGGTAAGATTTGTGATTTCTAGTACAATACAATTTCTTTCTTTCAAACTGTTCACACACACACAATGTTCAGTACACATATGCTATTTTAATACATTGCTGTCATGTGAAAATACACTGTATCATATCTTTCTAACATTGGTTTTGATAAGTTCCTGATTTGTTTTTGTTTAGATTGGCCATCTGTAATCTCACTGGTCAGTGTTGTGAAAGTTTGTCTTCAGTTCTACAATTAATAAACTCTTGTCTGAGGGAGCTGGACCTGAGTAACAATGCCTTGATGGATTCAGGAGTGAAGCTGCTCTGTGTTGGACTGAAGAATCCGCACTGTCTCCTGAACATACTCAGGTAATTAAGAAGAAAGATGAAAACCCTGATCAAATTAAGTATGTAACTTGATGCACTTGATTCCATGGGAGCCTGTACTATCAGATCAAAACCCAGTTGCTTTATTTGCTCTAATCTTTTAGGGAAAACATCTGGTCTTGTTTTTAATGAATTGTCTGATTTTTAATCTGGGATGCACTAATTTCACCATAACATCTCTACACTAAAAATGAGGACGTAAACAACTGAATGAGTTGGAGACATAAAATCAGAATACATGATAATAATCAGAATTAACATTTTGAAATGTATGACAACCACATAAAATATTTTTTGATATGATTGTTTTAAAATCAGTTTTTAAAAGGTTATGATATTTCATATACATTAGATGGTTTTAAATTCACTTTTACTCAATGCATTTACTATCATTTAGTGTATCAAAAGTTTGTGGCTATCTGATGGCCACACAGTCTATTCCCAATTCTGTAAGCTCTCTTCACATTATACATTTGTAAATGCTATTAAACAGCCATACGTGGTTGTATTATAATTTTTTATCTGTGACTTCAACAAGCACTGAAGACTGCGCTATAGTACTGCAGTTAAAGTGTATTGCAAGTACATAACAGGCTGTGATTATGCAGGACAATGAGTTTCGTTAAAAAAAACAAAACAAAAAAACAATATAGGCACAAACATTTTGGGCCTCTTGTAATAATACTGCAATTACACTGCAGTGCATTTTTGCACATTCAGAGCACAGTCTTAAAGCAGAGAAATAGAAAGATTATATCAAACTCTCCTTTTCCTTGCTCTTATACTAAATTTGAGTTTAGAAACTGTTTAACTGTTTTTATACTGCTTGATTAATTTCAGTAAATAAGCTAAAATCACATGGATTCAAGGAAAATGTAGCTCCCTCTGGAATAAATTAACCAAACAGGTCACTGTGATAGTAATGTCTGATTGACAAACCAATGTCATGTGGACTATTGATGTGTGTTTTTAGATTGTCTGGATGTATGGTGACAGAGGAAGGCTGTGGTTATGTGTCTTCAGCTCTGAGTTCAAACCCCTCTCACCTGAGAGAGCTGGATCTGAGCTACAATCACCCAGGGGATTCAGGAGTTAAGCTGCTCTCTGATACAATGAACAATCCAAACTGCACACTGGACAAACTCAAGTATGTGTGTGTGTATTTGTGTGTGTGTGTGTGTGTGTTTATTGATTGCATTGGATGTGCAGAATGTGACACTGTGTCTTTCATAGTGTGGATCATGGAGCAGAATTCAGGATTACAGCAGGACTACAAAAATGTGTGTCAACAATCACACACTCTCACACACAAACACGCACACATTAAGTGACTGTTGTTGTTGTTGTAAACGTTTTCTCTTCTTGTGTTCAGATGCCTGCAATCTCACACTGGATCCAAACACAGTAAACACTGAACTTATTCTTTCCGATGAGAAAAGAAAAGCGACATGTTTGGAAGAGAAACAGTCTTATCCTGACCATCCAGAGAGATTTGATGAGTGTCCTCAGGTTCTGTGTAGAGAGAGTATTTCTGGACGTTGTTACTGGGAGGCTGAGTGGAGAGGAGAGGCGGATATATCAGTGACATATAAAGGAATCAACAGGAAAGGATGGAGTGACTGTCAGTTTGGACTCAATGAATTTTCCTGGAGTCTGAATTGCTCTGATAACAGATTCACAGTCTGGCATGACAAAAAGTCAACTGACATACGTGTCCCTGCAGGCTCCTTAAAAAGAGTTGGAGTGTATGTGGATGTGTCAGCCGGTACTCTGTCCTTCTACAGCCTCACTGACACACATACACTCATACACTTGCACACTTTTACCTCCACGTTTACTGAGTCTCTTTATGCTGGATTTTGGGTTTATCGCTTGAACTCCTCAGTGTCTCTGTTTTAGTTTGAAAAGCTTTGAGCAAGAACAGAGATGTTGCAAATAAATTAAGCACTAATGTTATAAATCTTTAACACAACCCTGTTTCTCAGATTTATATGTTAGATATATCAAAACCATTCAATGTAACATTCTGATGCAGTGCTCTTAACAGCATAATATTATTTGTAAATATGAGAATGTTAAAGTACTGGAGAATTATGATCAGAACCAGAGCATATGAACATTGATTTTAAAATACCGTTACTTGTTAATAAATCCCTCAATGGTCCAGGTCCAGATATGCTCACTGAATATAAACCTTACAGATCACTCATACCCCGTTCAGACTGCAGGCAGACAAGGTCAGACTTTGTCGGAAGTAGTGTGAACACTCAAATCAGATTCAGACTACTTCCATATGTGGTCGTGTATCAGACCCAGGTCTGATTTTTTTCAGTGTGGCTGCAGTGTGAACAACCCAGGCAGTTTTGATGCGAATTTTACATCAATCCACATCGACATTTGTCACAAATTACTTGACTAGGCCTACAAAATGGAGAACAGTGTTGGAGCTGCTGGTACGGTTCAGTACAGTTCGACTCAGCTCGCTTCGCTTTTCCACTGCGAGGTACGACTCGGCTCAGCACGCTCGGTTTGATTTTGCACTGCGCGGTACGACTCAGCACGGCACGGCTCGGTTCGCTTTAGCTCGGTTTGCTTTTCCACTACAGTTATTACCGCTTCAAAGTGGGTGGGGTTATAGTCTGACCGTTATAGTTTATCCGCTCCTCAGCAACCGGAACGTCTGCACTTCGTCCACTGACCACGATTCAGCCATTTCTTTTTTTGGAAGTTTTCTTTCTTTATTTTGTCTTCAAGAAAGTAGTTTTAAAACAGGTGCTACAGCGGTGGCAGTTACTGGCTATTTAAATCTAGCGGGTAGTGACGATTCTGTCTGACTCTGACCAATCAGTGATCTGTAGTGTGTTCACGTCACATTTTAGTATCAGTACAGTACACTTGGAACCTCAACAAAGGTGGTATCATTTAAAGCGAGCCGTACCGTACCATGTAGTAGAAAAGCGTCACAAGTAAGCCGTACCGAGCCGAGCCGTAGTGTCCCATGCAGTGGAAAAGCGCCAACGCGTGCCGTACCAAACTGTGCCGTACCATGCAGTGGAAAAGTGCCAATTCATAACATTGAACTTTTACGTGATGGGAGTTTTTGTTATGGGTTAAACGGATAGTAGAGTTGAGCCGGATACTCGGCTGAAACGAGTATCCGGTACGGATAAAGCACTTTTGTCGAGTACAAATATTATACGAGTAATACGAGTCAATATCTGTGCTCGGATAAAAAAAAGAAAAAAAAAAGTAATGTTGAAATTAGGGCTGAGCGATATATCAATATAAAGAATATATATTTTAAATGTGATATGTAATTAGAGTTTGCGCTGCACGCCTTGCTCCAAGCAAGCTGCTTAGTGCTGACCCAGAGCTCTCTGCACTGCTCCCCGCGCCCCAGTCACTCCTTTTCCACTTTGCGTGCTTGATTAAAGCATGTTATGTTATAACATGAAATAAAGTCTTTCACCTCAGCAAAACGGACTTTGTCCTGTCAGCCGTTATACTGTAACGTTAGTCGTAGCGCACACTCAATTGCACGCGCAAATGCGGCGGCGCGCGCTGGATCGCCTCACTGTATATAAAGTGCAAAAGAAACAACGAGCATGCAACACTGTTGCGTTGTAAATAACACGAAATAAAAACAAAGCAGGTATGATTTTAATTCTATTCACCAGGAGCAGTTTCAATGTTTCATTAACAGTATTGTCTATTCACCAAGGTAACTGTCATGTCTATATTAACCCCTTAATGCCCCTATTTTTCTTTGTGTTATTTTTTATATTTTTTAAATGAATGTAATGGCTCATACCAACGTTGTATTGACAAAATAAATAAACCAATTAATAAATCACAATTACAATTCTCTGCAATTAAGATTTTTGTCATAATCATGCAGCCCTAAGGTGAAGAAACCTGTTAATTATTTATTCATTTGATTTTGCAAATGTTCATGTTTCAATAAAACTACTTGTGACATGTCATATTTGGCTTTGACTGAACATTTGCTCTCACTTTGCAGAAAAAATATCGGGATATATTTTGTATATTGAAATTCAGCCTAAATATATTGGGATATGACTATTGGTCCATATCACCCAGCCCTAGTTGAGATGAAAACTCTTGTTCGTTACATTTTACTTCATATTTGCAACCACATGTGTTGTATTCATTGTTGCAAAACTTGTTCTGTAGTTCGTTGTTATCGTGATCAAAACCATTGATCTGAAGCTCAATGCTGATGCTGTCATGTAAATAGTTTTCTTATCAGCAATAAATATAACAATTTCTGATCAACCCATATCAATTGCATGCTTAAAATAACATACCGGTTAAAGCCCCGCCCATTTCAAGACTACCCGACCCACTTCCGGGTTTAGGCCCCGCCCAGTCCGAGTACAGATACAGATAATTCATATGGTTATACAGATACAGATACAGATTCAGATAATGCTGTACTCGCTCATCCCTAACGGATAGTTCCCTAAAAAGCTATTTGACATACAACCCGAATTCCAGAAAAGTTGGGACGTTTTTTAAATTTGAATAAAATGAAAACTATACGACTTTCAAATCACATGAGCAAATATTTTATTCACAATAGAACATATATAATATAACAAATGTTTAAATGGAGAAATTTTACACTTTAGTCCACTAAATGAGCTCATTTCAAATTTGATGCCTGCTACAGGTCTCAAAATAGTTGGGACGGGGACAACAAATGGTTGAAAAAGCAAGAAATTTAGAAAGGATTCAGGTGGGAGAACATCTATAGCAACTAATTAAGTTGATATCAGGTCTGTAACATGATTAAAGGGATGTCTTAGAGAGGTAGAGTCTCTCAGAAGTAAAGATGGGCAGAGGCTCTCCAATCTGTGAAAGAGTGCGTAAAAAGATTGTGGAACACTTTAAAAACAGTGTTCCTCAACATCAAATTGCAAAGGCTTTGCAAATCTCATCATCTACAGTGCACAACATCATCAAAAGATTCAGAGAAACTGGAGAAATCTCTGTGCGTAAGGGACAAAGGCGAAGACCTTTATTGGATGCCCGTGGTCTTCGGGCCCTCAGACTACACTGCATCACTCATCGGCATGATTGTGTGAATGATATTACTAAATAGGCCCAGGAATACTTCCAGAAACCACTGTCGGTAAACACAATCCGCCGTGCCATCTCCAGATGCCAACTAAAGCTCTATCATGCAAAAAGGAAGCCATATGTGAACATGGTCCAGAAGCGCCGTCGTGTCCTGTGGGCCAAGGCTCATTTAAAATGGACTATTTCAAAGTGGAAAAGTATTCTATGGTCAAACGAGTCCAAATTTGACATTTTTGTTGGAAATCACGGACGCCGTGTCCTCCGGACAAAAGAAGAGGGAGACCTTCCATCGTGTTATCAGCGTTCAGTTCAAAAGCCAGCATCTCTGATGGTATGGGGGTGCATAAGTGCATACGGTATGGGCAGCTTGCATGTTTTGGGAGGCACTATGAATGCTGAAAGCTATATAAAGGTTTTAGAGCAACATATGCTCCCCTCCAGACAACGTCTATTTCAGGGAAGGCCTTGTGTATTTCAGCAGGACAATGCAAAACCACATACTGCAGATATTACAACAGCATGGCTTCGTCGTAGAAGAGTCCGGGTTCTGAATTGGCCTTGCCTGCAGTCCAGATCTTTCACCTATAGAGAACATTTGGCGCATCATTAAACGAAAAATGCGTCAAAGGCGACCACGAACACTTCAGCAGCTGGAAACCTATATAAGGCAAGAATGGGACCAAATTCCAACACCAAAACTCCAGACACTCATAAACTCGATGCCCAGACGTCTTCATACTGTTTTGAAAAGAAGAGGAGATGTTGCACCATGGTAAACGTGTCCCCGTCCCAACTATTTTGAGACATGTAGCAGGCATCAAATTTGAAATGAGCTCATTTAGTGGATAAAAGTGTACAATTTCTCCGTTTAAACATTTGTTATGTTATCTATGTTCTATTGTGAATAAAATATTGGCTCATGTGATTTGAAAGTCGTATAGTTTTAATTTTATTCAAATTTAAAAAACGTCCCAACTTTTCTGGAATTCGGGTTGTAAGTTGCTTGCCCTCATGACATTCTAAACCTGTATGACCTCCTAATGCAGAAGACAAAAGCATGTGTTTTAACAAATAAACTTGTTATTTAACAAATAACAAATACTCAATGTTTCTTGTGAAGTATATGAGGCTAAATTGTGAAAGTTTTCATCATAGAACTATCCTTTTAATTCATATAACGTGTTGGCACATATTGTTAAGCTTTGTACATTTTATTTTCGACACTGTATTTTATTTTTATTATTATGATTTTTTTTTATTCTAAACTGTTTTAATTATTCTGACTTTAATTTCTTCCATGTAAAGCACTTTGAATTGCCACTGTGTATGAAATGTGCTATATAGATAAACTTGCCTTGCCTTGCCTTTGCCCTCTACTTGAGGTACTCTTAACTTTTAATTATTTTTACAAAATATGCGACTATGTGTTGTGTTTATTTTGGAAAATCTTACTTCAGTTGAACACTTGAAAAGGATCCTTCAAGAAAAGCTCTAAATCAAGGATGACTTTTTGATATTTTTATAAAATTTGAGGGTCCAGAGTTCGCAAATGAACTCCAGGGGGCTCATATACAAAGACTTGCATTGAATTCAAACTAAAACATTGCGTACGATCAAAGCTGTAAATGTGCAAACGCACAAAAAAACAACAGATGTATTAATGTCTGCGTATGAAGGATCCCATGAATATTTTTCTTTGTACATCCGAATTAATGTAAAATTGAGCGCACATGCACAAGCACAACGCCCCACCCAGTCTCCTCCCTCAATTAAACTAATTTAAGCAAGAAACGAAATTTTACTGAAAATGTCTATGTGAATATATGTGAAAGTGTAATATATTCCTGTGATCAAAGCTGAATTTTCAGCATCATTACTCGTCTTCAGTGTCACATG